GCCTACTTGCGCCCATTCCGGGTCCCCCGTGCAATCCTTGGACGACTGCCGCGTTCCTATCTACTTGCCGTTGAGCAGGGGCCCAGGTGGCACTGTGGCACAAGAAAACACTGACATCAGAGTGCAACCATCATGTCGGATCGCACTCCTCTGCAATACAGGCAAGGGACACACAGAGCTGGTTATTGCAGCGCATCTTAAGCGGCTGTTTCGGCAGTCGCATCCACCTTTCCAGCTGGTCATCAGTGGAAAAGAGGAAGATTAAGACCCGGGATGCATATGTTACGCATGGCGCTGCTTCCTCGCCTGGCCCGGTCAGCTGAATGGCCGCATGCTTCGTGTCCTTGGCGGCCTTGACGTCGCCATGCCAAAGGCAGCACGTTTGCTGGAGTATAGGGTCCGAAGTCTTGTCTGTACTTCGTGCCACGGTCTCCAGGATGGACCGCAACTTCTTCTCGTCTTGGAAGAAGATGTGCCCACGAGAATGCATACGTGGCATCCATTCATCAACACTGCATTTGACTTCCTCCTCTGACCGTGGTTGGAAAGCAGCTTCGGATGGCTCGTGCCGCACTTCCGGAGCACACTGCTGCATGTCTGGTCGGTCTGGCGCTACTGGATCGCTGCTCAGATATTCCTTCCCTGGAGGTTCGCTGCTGAGACGTGCGTTCGCCAGAGGCCCGCTGCTTGAGCAAGGCGAGCGTGCCTGTGCAAGGCGAAGGGCACCTGTGAAGCATGGTGGGCACAATTGCTCCAGCATCCACGCTGCCATGCGCCAGTGTTGCAAGTCTTTGCTGGCACACTGCAGGCTAGCTATGAAAGCGAAAGGATGCAAATAATTCATACTTCATGAGGCAACTAAGTGAGTAGCAGATCTGTACGTACGGATCATGCAGGAACGTGGGACTGATCTGGGAGCCCCCTAGCTGAACTTTCAAAGGGCTTTGTGGAGCAGCTCCTGCGGCCATGTGTGTGTGTGTGTGCGCACTCAAGCTGCAACCGCAGGTCAGGCAGTTCGTCTGCGATGCATGCAATCTGCTCCGACAACATACTTCCGAACTAGAACGAGCCATCCACCCAGCTTCAGTTTCCACTCGATGCAAGCTCTAGACACTTCGCGAATCAAAGGACGTGCCGGTGAAACTCTCTCAATTAAGACCCTGAAAGATCGACCCGAACTCCAAGGCCACTCCCAAACCCTCACCAAACCAGCCCAAAACTCATCCAGAAACCCCCAGAAGACAAGAAGAAGACTCAGTCCAGAACCCGAAAGCCTCTCCTGGATCCCCGCCAAGGCACCAGGGTGGCCAGCTCAAAGAACACCGTGTCCATGCGCCCCGCCGAGGACCTCCAAAACCCGTCGGCCGGGGCTTCGGGATGCTCTAAGTGCCTCTAAGGCCCTTTTGAAAGGCCACTAGTAGGAGCTCTTTTAGGACATAGGGTTCTACGGTAGTTGATGTCTTTTTTGCACCATGGGGTACCCAAGACCTTCTCTTTGGGCTCGGTCGACTCGATGCTTTGGGGTTTCCCTGCTCAATGCCGGAGGCCACGTGCGTGAACAGGAAACTGAATAGGTTTAGTATCGTTTGGGGTTTAGCGGGCACAGCATCGCCTACATGGCTTCAGGCATTGAAGCATCCGAAACCCCAAAGCCAGTGAACCAGGTTCCCGATGAACAGCTTTCAAAACGTTGAATACCACGGAATAGACATCCAGATGCGAGCTGATGGGAGGAGGTGAAGGAGCTCAGGCTGCTTGGATGGAGAATCACCTGATGTACTCAGTCAGCAAGTCGCTGGGCAAGCTTTAGTTCGCAACTGATACCATATCAAGTCACGAAAGAGGTTTCCGGCTTTGGGCTTCCTGGCTGTGGATCCAACGCCAATCATTCAGCTGCCGCTGCAACAGTGAAGGGCCGACCCAAGCGCGAAACCCTCAGCCTTGAACCCCCGGAACCCCGAGACTCCTCCCCAAGCCGTTAGCTCATAGTGTATATATATATATAGTATATATTTATACTATAGATATAGTATATATATATATGTATATATCAAAGCACAGCCGCAACACTGCGCCACTTTCTCACGCCAGCTTGTGAACACAGATACCGGCGCGTTGGTTCGAGTTCCAAGTTCTTCTGCGAGCCCGGGAAAAAGTACACCAGGGATTCCAAACTTCGGGGTTTGAGTCTAAGGTGCCGAGACGAGAACAAGACGAGAACAAGACGCCGAAGCAGTTCGAACACTATGGTCCCTGTGGCTCCAACTCCCAGCTGCATCCTCAGGTCAAAGATTCAAAACCTACAACCTTCCGGAGTAAACTCGCATCAGCTTCAACACAGACCGTTTTACATCCGTTTACATCGGCTTGGCTTGTTCCTGCCGTCTCAGCGGCCCTGCCCGTCAAGTCTCCGCTCAACACCTCATCCACTCGCAAACACACACAAAATTTGTCAAAAGGGGCTTGGGCTTTAGAGTAGTAGTAATAGCAATGACTATGATATCCGCTTGGAGTATCTTGGGGTTGAAGAGTAGCACCAGCTGGAGTTACACAGTTACACCTCGACCCTGAACTGAAAGAGCTCGGAGCTCGCAGAAGGAGCGTGCGCGCGCGACGCTGCTCATCGCGGCGAAAACGCAGCGCAAAGGCCATGAAGCCGGCTGCCGGCCCTTTTCCGGTTTAGGGGTTGTTGGGTTTATGGCTGTTGGCGTTTAAAGGGATGTTTGGGTTTTTATTGTTTATGGGTTTTCCCAGCTGGGCTTTCCCCGCCGAGGGTGCCGCTGATATTGACATCCGTTCTCGAGAGGCAGCTGAACACTTCGGCATTGGTGCAAGCCATACTCTTGCTACACGCTGGGACGTAGGTGGCCTTTCGCTTCAGGGAAGAGCAATCACCGATGAACCACAGAATGCTTGAAGAACGATCTTGGGTGAGGTGTGTAGTATTGCTAGGGCGGCCTGGCAGTGCTTCCTGTTCAGCGGCCCGGCTCACTGCACAAGACACCTCTCAACCTTGGAGGAGCGCTGCCACCACCTTCTCCACGCTGCCCCCAAAGGCAGCAAGGAGGTTTCGAAGCTCCTCATGTGCAGAGCCTACAAACCCGTCGGAAGTATTGGATACGGTTAACGCATCTTAGCGTTTGAATCGAAAGGGCTTGAGATGTCTTGTTCGGGCTATTTTGTGCCTTGGGATGCTATGGATACTGCTGGCTTTTGTCAGGTTTTTCAGAAGGGCATAGAAAGAAGGGCTCCTTTATCGGGTTCCTACGTCTTGGACTTTGGGGTCTGAGGCTCCTCCACGTCGACCGTGAAGCCCTGATCTTGGATCTGCGCGATCTGCTCCGCATAGGTCGGGGGAGCCTCTCAAGGCCATGGGTAATATAGTATATGATAGTCTATTATAGTAAATATGATAGTCTATTATAGTATATGATAGTATAGTGAGAGGCGGTTGACTTGTAGTTCAAGGTGGCTTCAGGGGATGTTGGGAGGCTGTTCTTGGGTGCGCCGAGCAAATGCTTCAGCCTAGATCCCAAGCACAGCCGCGTTGAAAGCCACCTCTCCAGGAAAGCATGTCTTCGAAACAGAAGCCCTGAGAAGCCAAGCAGGGTTCCGAAAATCGGCTTGTCCATCTTTTGCACCCAACCCCGAAGCTGCGACACTTGCAGGTGGAGCCCGACTTGCTCACCTCAACCCCTGGCGCTTCTTCCCAGCTGGATGCTGCGTTGCTTGCGCTGGGGGCGCCCAGCGACCTGGGTGCATGCGGCTGCGAAAGCTGTTTGGTCTTGGGTGCCTTCCGTAGCACTTCACCCTCAGAATGTAAGCCTCCGGACTCGGAGAGGTCCCACGACGAACATCTAGCAAATGTGACCTCCCAAGTCTAAGTTCCGCCGAGGCACTCTGCATGCTGCATGAACGCGACTATGTCGCCCACCTGTGCAGACGCAGATCTTCCACAGCTCCATTGCAGAAGCAGAAGACCTCGGCAAGGCCTGATCCCCCGGCAGCCGGTACTTCGCGATGAACTCCCTGGCCACCTACAAGGAATCAAGGAACTTCATGGAACCCAAAACTCGGCGTTCCTGCTATGCCCAGGTCGCGAATTGGCGCAGCCTAGCATCAGCTTTTCATGTTCAGCCGAGTCCAGAAACCCGGCACCTCCGAGAGTGCCGACTGTTTTGCGGCGCCTCCGCCTCCCCTCAAAACCTCAAACGTCCAAAGAACCCCTGAAGTACACGGGCAGTGTCCTAAATTAGGGTCCCCTTTAAGGTCCTTTTGATAAGGTTGCCGTACTATTGTGGGGACCTGAACAGGGACCCTATTTTAGAGAACTACCCACATGAAACTCTATAAGCATCCAGTCGCCTGCTCCCGGGCGTCAGAGGACTTCCAGGTGATCTGGAGGCTGCGGCCATCATCGACCTTTCAATGGGCGTCGGGTTTGTGGGTTCATTCAGAGCTTGGGATGGGTATGCAGGCCTGGCCACAGCTCTTCGCGACTGTTCCCTGAAGTACCGTACCTCAGACCATGAAGACCCTACCCTAAACCTTTAACCCCTAAACCCTCCAAACCCCTAAACCCCCCAAACCCCCCAAACCCCTAACCCTAAACCCCCCAAACCCCTAAACCCCTAAACCCCCCAAACCCCTGAACCCTAAACACGGGAGCCTCGGGAAATCCGAAAACCCGAAGCGGCCTGGACGGGGAAGGAGTATCGGAGCCCCGGCTCCTCCTCGAAGATGCTTCTAGACACGTCACGAAGCTTGGGCTTCGGGGCCTCGGGCTTTAGAAGGAGGGGAGGGGAACTCAAAGGTTGCTAGGGACGTGCAGTTGTTGCCAGTTTCTGGATGTCTTCGGCAGGAGAAAGAAATGCTGAGGCCCTTTTCTTGCGCTGCCACAACCGCTATTCTGCAGAGTCGCACACGGCACACACGGGGTTTCTCCAGCCCAGAGCGTAAGCCCCAGAGCGTAAGCCTGACACCACCGCCTTGGCCTGAGGTCTTGTCATGCTCGCAGTTCTAAGTTAAAAAGTACCCGCTCCAAGCTCCTTCACCTCGCCGGACATGTCCTCTGCTGGCTCGGCCGCAGGCTTCGGGACCTGAGCTGCCGGCACCTGCACTGCAAAAGATCCGAACCGTCGGATGATAGGGAAGGCTTACAGCACAGAGGGTCATAACAGATGTCCCAAATACAGATCTTCTGTAATGGATCGTCGTATGCCGCACCCAGTCGTGCTAGCTCTGCGAGCGCCTTCTAAGCCTTTGGCGCAAGGGCCCCAAAACAAAAATTCACCGGTATATCTCGTGGTATAGTCCAGAATCATGCTTCATATCCTATAGCTTCTGTATGTATGGCCTATAACATCACCTCAGGCCTAGTCTTGGGTCTCTTTGTGTGTTCCAGGGTCGAGAACTGCTACAAGAGCTCTGAGCTAACAAAGCTCTATGTCAATGCCTCTGGTACCTCTGGAATCCTGAAACAGTTTGGTGTTCAGTCAAGTTTCAATCATTAGTTTAATTACGGCTGGGCTTGAGTTTTTCGGTCCAAAGGCTTGAAAGTTCGAGATTTACAATTTTTCCGCACCTGGAAGAACCAAGTGGCACCAATCCTATCAAACCGAGTGAAATTCGGAACGCTTCCGTGACCTCCGAGGTGGGTGCGTCAACCTCCTTGCACTGGTCCATGGGAGGGGCAGACGGCTCGGCCTCGCATTCAGACAGTGATGCCTTGCTTCGGGGCCTCTCGTGCAGAGGATGCTTCGGGGATACTTCCAGATGGCAGCTCCTGCGAGCCCACCCAATGCCGGGATGAAGTGACATGGCAGGCAAGGCTGTGACAAGAGACTGTAGTTAGGCTTTTCTGCAGCTTGTCGCAAGCTGATAAACTCGGTTCAAAGAGCAGTAGCTCGAAGATGCGCAAAATTGTCGAACAGACGTAGCGCAAGCTCCATGAACGAACGAACCTGAACCCTCTGCGAGCGATCCTCCGTCGGTGCAGGCGCTGAAGCCGTGGGCTGCTCGTAGCCGCTAGACTCACGAGATTCCGCCTGCATCGGCGAAGTGCCTGGGCCACAAATCTCCAAGGGGCGGAGGTGCAGCTTCCGGAAAAAATCTGAGTCGCGAGCCGTTTGGGTTGGCCCATTTGCCTTTGCCCTTGCCTTTGAGGCCGCCGAGGAGCCCAGCGAGGCCGGCCCAGGGGTTCTCACTCGGGCTCGGGTTTGGGCCCGCGCCCGCCGCACCCCCGCACTGGCCCTTGCCACCAAACAGCCCTGCGAGACCCGCCAAGGGATTCTCGCCATTCTGGCTGTTTTGGCCGAACAAGCCGGCAAGGCCAGCCAAGGGATTCGCCTGGTCCTGGTTACCACGGTTGCCACCCTTGCCAGCCAGCTCGCCCAGAAGTCCAGCAATGCCGGCCAGTGGATTCTCCGTGCCACATGTGCCACCAGCTCCGGTATTCATGCCCGCACGATCGGCGGCTTTGCCCACGCGATCGGCCGCTGCGGCAAAACGCTGCTGGAGGAGGCCTGCCAGCGGGTGCTGGCTGATGTCCTGAAGGAAGCCGGGGATGCCACCCATCTTGCCGCTCTTGCCCTTGCAGCCCTTGCCCTTCCCTTTGCCTTTCATGCCGGAGAGCAGGCTTCCCAGGCCAACAGGCATCATGCCCGACAAGATGCACTCGAAGTCGTCCCCTGCCTCCGAGCCAAGGATCTCGCGCTTGCGGGCATAGCACGTGCCACAAAGGTCGAAGTCCGCGCGGCTCGTGCACTTGAACCGCGGGCCCTTCAAAGGCGCGGCCTCGCAGCCGTCACAGACGGCCTGGTGCGTGAGAGCGCCTGGGGAAGCTGAACTCACATTCTACATTAGATGACATATGATATGGTATAATGGGTTTAGGGTTTAGGGTATGATATTGTATAATGTTGTATAGGTCTGTACAAAACCGTATCGAAGCAGCACTGAACGTGGCTCATGTCTTTCCCATGATGCCGTGCCTTCGATCATGCAGGAGGGGGCCATCTCCTCCAGGAGCTGGATCAGCTCACGGTGTCGCGATGCGAAGAATGAAGTTAACAGCCTGAGCCGACCGGAAGGTGGTTCGGGTGGAAGGCTTTCGGGATTCTCACATCGGACTCCTTAAAGGAGACAGGAGCCGGGGTTTGGGGACTGCGTAGGCTCCTGCGCCGAGCACTCGCACAGCCGGCTTCTTGCCAACTGCGAGTCCATGCCCTGTCTCGCAGACACCCTTGAATCCGAAACTCGTCAACTCTGTCCGGTCGATGCTTTGGCCGGTGAATTTGCGGATCCGTGAGGTCCAGCCGTCTCGAAAGGCGATGCAAATTTGGAACCCAACCCTGGCCGGCAATGCATGCAAATGGCCCCCGATACACTAAACCCTAGAACAAAAATCCGCTCACCTAAACCCAGATCTGTTGATCTTGGCAGCTTGTGCTGGTCTTCGAAGGGTAGCAAGTCGAGGCCAGTCACCAACGAGAGCCTCGGCTTCGAGGTCGCGGATTGCCGAAGAGCAGCAAAGACACGCTTGCAATATTATGCTTCGGCTGGTATACATACATACATACATACATACATACATACATACATACGTACGTACGTACGTACGTACGTACATACATACATACATACATACATACATACATACATTGACATACATACGTACATACATACATGCGGGACAGAGATGCCTGAGGCAGTTGAGGCATCGACCGCCTGGTCGATCGACAGACAAGCAAGCACGCAGGCAGGCAGACAGACGGTTAGATACACATACATGCGTGGTGTTGTGGTGGTGGTGGTGGTGGCGGCGGCGGTGGTGGTGGTTTGGTGGTGGTGGTTTGGTGGTGGTGGTGGTTTGGTGGTGGTGGTTTGGTGGTGGTGGTTTGGTGGTGGTGGTTTGGTGGTGGTGGTGGTGGTGGTGGTTTGGTG